AGTCACATTTTCTTTTTGCGTTTTGTCCCGCACTCCCCTCCCCTATTATTGTAAGCCGCCCTGAGTCCCCTCAGGGAATAGGGCGGCCTATAAATGCTTAATTAAAAAAATATATTTGAGGGTCACCACAGAGTGGAGACGGTCAAGCTATTTTCCAAAGCACCTGAAGGCCAGACAAGGAATAATGGATGGAAACTGAACAAGGAGAGATTCAACCTGGAAATAAGGATAAATTTTCTGACAGTGACAACAATCAACCAATGGAACAGAATTTACCTTTGAAAGTTTTGGGAGCTTCATCACTTGAGACTTTCAAGAAGAGATTGGACTGCCATTTGTCAGAAATGGTGTAGGATCTCTTGCTTGAGACTAGATGACCTAGAAGGTCTCTTCCAACCCTGTTAATCTGTTGTTGACTCCCCATTGTGAAAGAAACATGGATTACTAAGTTGCTGTATACAACCCATTTATTTCTAAGTTGTTCCCCCCCCCCATCCCTAAAATGCACAGCAGCACCCCATAATAATAATAATTTCAGAGCACCGCAGGGGGGGGAAATGGCAACCTCTCTACGCCATCCTCTCAAAGTGACAAATAGAGAAAATTTTGCTGCTATTATTACTTTATTTTTTCCCCCTAGGACCGGGAAAAAAAACGAAGGACTGTCAACTCTGCTCCAATAAAGTGGAACCAGAGAGAATGTTACGCTGAATGAATGAAATCGATTTTGTATTTTGTAGGTGGGAGTCTGAGCCGTTTGTTAACATTCACACATATGCAAGGGAAAACCCCAGGGGTGTGTGTGTGTGTGTGTGTGTGTGTGTGTGTGTGTGTGTGTGTATCCCAAATATAATTTCTTCACATTTTATTGCTTCTTTGCTGTGCTGTTTTTTTCCCCTCACAGGGAAATACAGGGAGTCCACGTTTGACCAAATGCCAGGAGAATTTCCGATGAAACCACACGATTATCATTACGGTTATTAATAGTATTAATTATCAAGTTAAACAGCGACTGCTGTGCCGTGATTAATCGTTGCCTTTATTTTTCGGTGCAAATCAAAGGGAAAACACAAGCATTTTGTCACGTTTAGTATGTACCGACGCCTGTCGAACAAATGTGCAACGAATAACCTCCTTATTTAAATGCCACCGGCATTATATGCCTGTCACCACAGCGGCCGCCATTTATAACAACGCTGTGACAAATTGTCTAAAAATAAAGAGGGGTATGCTTCAAAAGGCCAGGGCCTTCCTTTCAAAGGAGTAAGGAGTGCAGAACTGGGTGGCAATGTGCATTGTCACGCAGGAATGTTCTGTTGAGGCAAAATTGGGTGGAAGAGATAAATATTTGGATAGGCCTTGAGACATTTCTCAGATGAGCCATGTGCTGTTCTTCTGTGAAGAGAAGGACCAGGGGTGACAGGATAACAGTCTTCCGATATATGAGGGACTGCTACAAAGAAGGGGGGGTCCAGCTATTTTCCAAAGCACCAGAAGGCCAGACAAGGAATCATGGATAGAAACTGAACAAGGAGAGATTCAACCTGGAAATAAGGAGGCATTTTCTGACAGTGAGAACAATCAACCCATGGAACAGAAGTTGCCTTCGGAAATTGTGGGAGCTTCATCACTGGAGGCTTTCAAAGAGTGATTGGACTGCCATCTGTCAGAAATGGCATAGGGTCTCCTGATTGGGCAGGGGGTTGGACTAGATGACCTACAAGGTCCCTTCCAACTCTGTTAATCTGAATCTATCTCAGACATTCAAAGGCCTAGAGATTAAAACATACGATGAACCATTGCAGGAACTGGGCCTAGTTAGTCTAGTGAAGTGAAGGACCAGGGGAAACAGGATAGCAGCCTTCCAATATTTGAGGGGCTGCCACAGAGNATCCCACAACTGTGTTCGTGACTTACCCCATCCAATGCCATAGTAGTATAAGAGCTTGTTCTCTTCCGAGCCAAAGACTTTGATCACCATGCTGTAGAGATGGAAGCCTTCCACCAGCATCCATGCGAAAGTGCTCAAGAAGAAGAAGTGAAGGAGAATCGCCAGGATTTTGCAGGGCACCTGCAAAGAAGACAAAACCAGCCCAATGAACAGGAAAGGTGAGGAGGAGAAGTCTTCTCACCTCACCCCAGGTGGTCAAAATGTGCTCCACCTACCCAACTCAAAAAGAGATGCAAATGTTGTGGTGCCTTTTGATGATACGGAGACCTTGTTTATACTATCATAGTCTCTTGCCAAGATCTGAAGGTTTGTAAGAAGCCAGCTGATTTAATAAGAGGTTACTAGAGCAATATTATTATAACAATAGGTCTATCTCTTTCTTTCTCTTTCTTTCTTTTTCTCTTTTGCTTTCTCTCTCTCTCTCTCTTTTCTCTTTTCTTCTCTCTTTTTCCCTTCTTTTTTTGCTCTCTCATGTTTTTCTTTCTTTTTTCTCTTCCTTTCTTTCTTTCCCTTTCTCTTTCTCTGTCTGTCTCTTTTTTCTTTTTTTCTCTTTTTCTCTTTGGCTTTCTCTTTGTTTCTCTCCTGTTCTTTCTCTCCATCTCTCTCGTTCTCCATTTTTCTCTTCTCTTTTTCTCTTTCTCCTCTTTCTGCTCTCTTCCTTTCATTTTTCTTTCTCTCTCTTATCCTCTTTCTCTCTATCTCTTCTCCCTTTTTTCTCTTTTCTTCTCTCTCTCTTTTTCTTTTTCTTCTCTTTTTTCTTTCATTCCTTTTTCTTTCTTTCTCTTTTCCTCTTTCTCTGTCTCCCTCTGTCTGTCTGTCTCTGTCTCTGTCTGTCTCTGTCTGTCTCTGTCTCTCTGTCTCTCTCTCTCACACACACACATACACACACACTGTCAGAACAGCTGCCCCAAAAGTGCTTTTTCAAAAGGCAATTGGACTTTGTTTTTTTTTCCCCCTTGAAGATGTTTCACTTCTCATCCAAAAAGCTTCTTCAGTTCTGACTTAGGATTTCAGGTTTCTGACTTCTGACCAAGAACTGAAGAAGCTTCTTGGATGAGAAGTGAAATATCTTCAGGGGGGGAACCAAGGTTCAGTTGTCTTTTGAAAAAGCACCTTTGGGACAATCCTATCCTGGGTGGTTGAGAATTTACAATAGATTGGCAGCAATTCTGCTAGCCTTTTTCGAGACATTAACATTCTGACATTGTCATAAAGCCTGGGGGCCCATGAATATGGGTGTAGCCCATTTCATTGTGGGGTTGAATGTTCTCAGCTGCTGTTTTATGCTATTCACATTGGGATTTTTTTTAAAGTAATGGTTGTTTTCAACCTGTTTTTATTTCATCTTTAATAGTTAGTCGCCTAGAGTCATATCTACCAGACAGACGCCCGTGTGAATGGATTAAATTCATAAATATGTAAATTCCCTGGAAAGTAAGTTTCATGGTTAGGAAATCAAGAAATGGATTCATTCTGCGGAAAGTAAGATTCAAATTGTATTCAGAGAAGGGAGATTTCGAAGAGCTCGCCAAATATCTTGTCCAACGAGATTTGCATCAATAGGACATCGTGAATTTCTAAAGCTCTCAGTTCCTCTGGTTGGTTGGTGATTTTTTGGAGCCTAAGTGTTATGGCCTGTCGGCAGTCATCTCCTCCAGCAGCTGAATCAGAGGGGGAGGAAGTGTGGGAGCTGGGGTCAAGGCAACCCGGGAGCTCCAAGGGGGAAGAGGGAGAGACAGAGACAGAGATGGCGCCTGGGCCGTCTGTCAGCCCTCAGATGGAGAGTCAACAGCCTCCAGGTCTGGGGGTGGCTGATGAGGAAGAGGAGAAACAGCTGGGCCCAGTGCCTGACTCACCGATGCACTGAAGGCAGAGGAGATCAGTGGAAATCTATGGGCCGGTTCTTGGGATGGAAGAGCCACCACAGCTAGCGAAGCTCCACTCTAGCTCTGGGGATAAAAGGTAGGGAGTGGAGATGAATAAATGTGGCAGACAGCCATTCTTCTCCCTGCCAGATGGACTTGTTAGCCTGCTGTGTGTGTGAGAGAGAGACTTTTAACTGGGTCTGCTGTTGCTCCTGATAAAGGGAACGCTTATTTAACTACAGAGGTTTTGTCGTGTTTCCGAGCCGCGTCAGAACACTAAGAGATTGTGTTAAAAATGATCCACTAGGCCAGTGTTTCTCCACCTTGGCAACTGTAAGATAAGCAGGGCTGGCTGGTGAATTCTGAGAACTGAAATCCACAGATCTTCACATTGCCAAGGTTGAAAAACACCACACTTAGGCAGTGGGAAGAAAAAAAAATGATCTTGCTTAGGAAATCTGAGGAGTCTGTTTTCCCCCATATGTTGCAACTTTGCCACATGAATCCTACTCCTGCTCTCTCAAGGAGAATAGTAGAATAACAGAGTTGGAAGTGACCTTGGAGGTCTTCTAGTCCAGCACCCTGCTCAAGTCTATTCCAGACCGAGTGCCCAAAGCATGTGTGCACGCAAATGCGGGCGTACCCGAACCCCCAAAATGCAATGCGCACATGCCCCCCCCATGTATATANATGTGTGAGGGGAACCTTTACCTTACTCGATCAGGCGGTTAGACTAGAAGACCACCTATTTCCCTTCCAATATTCTGTTATTCTCTGCCATCGACGCCCAAGTCAGAAGCATATCCACTTCACTCACCATCCCGGGTTCAAACTGGAAGCTGGTAAGGAGCAAGATCTGAGCCACCAAGACAGCAAAGGAAAGATTGGCATGGATGTGATAACGCTGGTTGTGGATGGTACTGACGGAGCTGGTGGGGAAAAGAGGCACATCTATTAGTACTCTGAAAATTAAAATATATTGGGTTGGGGACTTCTGGGAGTGCTTTGAAAATTAAAATATTTCAGTCTACTTGGGAGTTGAAGTCTATCCATCTTAAAGTTGCCATGGTGGAGAAACTCTGGTCTACAGAAAGAACGGAGAATCGGTTGGCATCCACTTAAGTGGGCCACCAAGAAGAGTTCCATTCTACATATCCAAGTGCTCATCACTTCTACATCAGAAGCAGGGGTGGCAACTGGTTCGCTGAACACACGCAGAGAAATCACCTTCAGCATTACTGCTGTGGAGGTCATGTGACTAGGTGCGTGTGGCCAATTTAGCAGTCCATTAAACAATGCACACAAACTAAACTTTAATTTGCTTTGCTGCTGGGGGTGTTTTATTTGCTTTTGTTTGCATGTTGCTCTTTTGGTTGCCTTTTCTTTTGACTAGATCATTTTTTCAGTTGTTTTAAGAGCCTAGTGGTCTATTTCAGGAAACTCAGTTTTACAGCAATTGTTCTCCACCCCAAGGAGCTTGAGAAATCTTTCTCTCTGTCTCTTTCTTTCTCTCTTTCTCTCTCTGTCTTTTTCTCTCTCTTTCTTTCCTTCTCTCTCTCTCTCTCTTTCTTTCTTTCTCCTTTCTTTTTTATTTCTCACGTTCTCTTTCTTTCTCTCTCTGTCTCTCTGTCTCTCTGTCTCTTTCTCTCTTTCTCTTTCTCTCTCTCTGTGTCTTTCTCTCTTTCTCTCTCTTTCTTTTTCTCTCTCTCTCTCTTTCTCTCTTTCTCTCTCTTTCTCTTTTTTCTTTCTTTCTTTCTCACTATTTCTTTTTCTTTTTCTCTCTGTCTCTTTCTTTCTCTTTCTCTTCCTTTCTTTTTTCTTTCTTTCTTTCTTTCTCACTTTTTCTTTCTCTCTGTCTTTCTCTCTCTTTCTTTTTTCTTTCTTTCTCACTCTTTTTCTTTCTCTCTCTGTCTCTCTGTCTCTTTCTCTCTGTGTCTCTCTCTCTTTCTCTTTCTTTCTCTCTCTCTTTCTCTCTCTTTCTCTTTCTTTCTTTTTTCTTTCTTTCTTTCTTTCTCTGTCTCTTTCTCTTTCTTTTTCTTTCTTTCTCTCTCTCTTTCTCTTTCTTTCTTTTGTTTCTTTCTTTCTCTCTCTTTCTCTTTCTTTCTTTTTTCTTTCTTTCTCTCTTCTATCTCTCCTCTCTGTCTTGTCTCTCTTTCCCTCCCTCCTTCCCTCTCTTTCTGTCTCTGTCTCTCTGTTTCTCTTTGTCTCTCTCTCTCTCTTTCTTCTGAAGCGCAGCAATCCACTCTACTGTGCCTATCAGATGGGCTTCAGAAAAGGAATGTAGGTGAGCATAACGCAGGTGTGGGCGGGTTTGGCTAGCTGATAGTCAGAGCTACCGGCTTGCCCAAACCGTTCTGAATCAGTAGAATCCCACCCCTGATCAGAAGCCATGACATCTCTCTCTCTCTGTCTCTGTCTCTAACCTCTTAATTGGCTTAGCCCTCCATTTAGGAAGGCAAGGTTACAAAACTAGGTTTTAATTGGGGTAATACTTTCCTGAGGCCAACCCTGCTTGGCTCCCGTGCAATGAACTTTTGCAATATTAACTAGGCTGCTTTTGATAGTCTTTTGATGGACACAGACTCCCTGCAGGCTCACGCAACTTTCCTGACGTTCAGCAAAATTGTGGGGGAGGGGGAAATGGGTGTCTCTCTCCCCTCCTTTCCCCGAAGTGCCTCTGGATTTAATAACATGAATTAAAAGCAAAACATAATGCTGAGAGTTGTTGTGTTCCACATAAGGGAAGTAGAATAAATTCCTAGAATTTGCAGTCGCCCCACAACGAGGGAAGGGAGGAGAGGAAATATGAATATTTCCCCATTCATTTTGGGGGGGGGGTTCACCCTAGTTTGAGGGGTTCTGGTGCTTTCCGAGAGCTTAGAGAGCACCAAGGACCTCTCATTTCAACCCTGTGCTACAAATTATTCTCCTTTATTGGTATCCACCCCCCTCCCCAACCGTCTGGGCTTTCAATCAGCGCATCTCTCTTTTGAGAATCAGCTCAAGTGGTTTTCATGTTAATATGTTTGGGTCTGATCCCCTTAAAGATGCGCAAGCATGAGCAACTCGCTGGACGAGGCAAACGAGGCTCAAATTAAGCGAGCCAGATCGACCGAGAAGGCCATTTGCATATCCCATCGAAATCTAGCACTTTGTAAATATCTCATTGTCGCATTCTCTACCTTGAAGTGATTTCGCTATATATATGGAAATAAGAAAAACGTATTGTTATTATTATTAGCCTTCCCAAAGCACAGCTAAATTGGCATTCTGGAAGGCTAAGCAAATAGCTCTCACAGAACCGTCCAGCTGAGGATAACCATAAGCCTTGTTATTGGAGACGTTTGGGTGAATTCAGAAAAATCTCCCTTGGAAAGGGCCCCAAGTCATTTGAATAAAGGAATCCGGTCTGATCCACGGATCCAACGCCATTGGCGAGATCGACGGCATTGGGTTCGGATCAAGCATGAAATCCTCTTACCTTTGCTACTGGTTCGGCACTGGGGGAGCGTGCATGTCCACGGGCTTGCTTTGCTATCAAGCGACACTTCTGTGCATGCGCAGAACCTTCTGCGCATGCGCAGAGCATCTGTGATGACATCTGGGTGGGTGGAAGGGGCCTCCGCCACTGCCTCTACCGGTTCGGCCACACTGGGGTGAACCGGCAGAATGCCACCTCTGGTTCGGATGAAATGCTCAAGAGGATGGGCTTCCTGTCAGATCCCTAAAAGTGATACTGTCATTTAATTGGGAGGAGGGGGCTTTGGAGTCTATTAGCAGTGCCTGTGACAACTGATATTTTACAACTGATTTCCTGGCGCCGAAGTACCTTGAGATCCCCTCACCTTTTGGGGAATGTTTATGATAGGCATGTGGGATGGATCACTTTAATGTCTAACGGAAGATAGCCATGGGAATCCAGTTCTCAAAGCAGCTGGTAAAGGAAACATCTTCATACTTGTACATTAGCTAAAATCTGCATTCTGACTAATGGGAGGGGTCTCTACTGCTTTAATTCTACTTGCCTTGCCTAAGGAGATTCAGACGTTGCTTTGAACCTATTGCTTTCACTTCTGCTGAATAAAAGCTTTCTTCGTTTCAAGAGTCTTCACTTTCTTAAGCTAGAAGGAGAGGCAATCCTTGCACTTCCATTCAGATTTCTGAATCGAAGCATAAGGAGATGTTTCTGCACCCTGGAAGGATCCTCACCTGGATTAGTTTGGAAGCAACTGATTTGTTCAGCCTGCCAAACGAATTCAGAAATTTAGACAAATTGCCTCCCAGCTAGACCTCAACACTGCATTTCACAGAATTGTAGGGTTTGCTGGGATGTCATGTGAAACAAGTTCTCCATTGAGGCTGCCAGAGATGGGTTTCTACCAGTTCGCACCAGTTCGGTAGAACCAGTTCGTCAAATCTACTGAACCGGTTAGAAGAGGTTCCACCAGAAATCAGGCC